TGGCTCAATTTTTAAAAACGGATGCTCCGTTAACCCTAAACCCTAAACCCTAAAACCCTAAACCCTAAACCGGATGCTGCCCAAAAGCGGAACGGCATCATAGGGTCTCGGCAGACCCGACGTGTTTATATCCAGCGAACCGCCCAGGCGGAGTGTAGACCGCAAGTGCCGAACTACGAACAAAAGATCACACGCAGGGGCGTTGCCGGGATGAAGCCCTAAACCCTAGGGTTTAGGGTTTAGGGTTTAGAGTTTAGGGTTCAGTGTGTAGGTGTACAGAAGGGTTTTAGTAGTATCGATTCCTGACAAGGTCCATAACAAGCTACATCCTAAAGACGGCCCCAGGATTTAGGCTTTTGGGTTGATAGGGTTTCTAGCGTTTCTAGGGTTTCCAGGGTTTCTAGGGTTGTTTTTAGGGTTTTAAGGGTTTAGGGCTTCTAGGGTTTAGGGCTTAGGTTCTGTGAGTGGTCCAATAACTTCGTATTTGGAAGAGACTGGCCAGGTCACGTTTCCACACACTCCCCCTGCTTTCAGACCAGAAGTATCTGTCATTTGAAGTTCCTTTGGCATCTCAACGCCCTGCCACCGCCACCTTAAACCCTAAACCCTAAACCCTAAACCCTAAACCCTAAACCCTAAACCCTAAACCCTAAACCCTAAACCCTAAACCCTAAACCCTAAACCCTAAACCCTGGGGGGTGAGGCATGCAGGACGCGGAGGTCTGCCGACATAAATCTGTCAACGCCGCTTTCTCATGGCGAACACTCTTACCTGCCAATAGGCTTGTCTGGGTCGAGCAAGAGCAGGAAAGAGACGCCTGAGGCTTTTAGGGTTTAGGGTTTAGGGTTTAGGGTTTCGGGTTTAGGGTTTCGGGTTTAGGGTTTAGGGTTTAGGGTTTCGCCTTTGACATAGCTTCAATCTAACGTTTCTGACACACCACACCTCCAGTACCTTGAGACCCAGCCTCTGTTTCCGAGCTACTAAGAACACACTTTGCGACCCCAACACAAGTCCCAAGGCCCCTGAATAAACTTGAAGCCCTAAACCCCAAGCCCTATATCAAGCCTGAACCTATAAACCCTAAACCCTGAACCCTAACCCCCCTTGAAACCCCAAAGCCCTAATGGCCCCAGACGCCAAAAACTCTGCAACCTCAACAGTCGCTAAAGACTTAAAACCCCCTCATCCAAGCACAAACCAATGAACCTTGAAGTATGGTTTAGGGTTTGGGTTCAGGGGTGAGGGTGTAGGGTTTAGGGTTTAGGGTTGAGGCTTTAGGGTGTAGAGTTTGAAGCGATCAAAGGGCCGGTTCTTGTTGGTTTCGGGCCCTGCGGGGTTGGTCCCCACTTTCTGGCCACGGAGGGTCAAGTAACTGGACCTTAAACCCTAACCCTAAACCCTAAACCCTAAACCCTAAGCCCTAAACCCTAAACCCTAAACCCTAAACCCCTCAGGGCTCAGGTTCCCTAGCCCTAAACCCCAAACCCTAAACCCTAAACCCTTTGAAACCAAAAAGGGCATCGTGTTTCTCGCTCCTGGGCTACGCTTGGGTCTTGCTACGCCTGAGTTGAGCCCTTCGATCTTAACCCTAAACCCGAAGCCCTAAACCCTAGCCCTAAACCCTAAACCCTAGACCCTCAACCCTAAGCCCTAAACCCTAAACCCTAAACCCTCGACCCTCAACCCTAAACCCTAAACCCGAACCCCCAAATCGGCCTGCCCAGGCCCCTGACATGGAACTTCGTGACTTGAAGGAGAGCGGGCCGACTTAATTCATGCCAGGGTTTAGGGTTTAGGGCTAGGGTTTAGGGTTTAGGGTTTAGGGTTTAGGGTTTTTAGGGTTTTTAGGGTTTTTAGGGTTTTTAGGGTTTTTAGGGTTTAGGGTTTAGGGTTTAGGGTTCAGGGTTTAGGGTTTAGGGTTCAGGGTTTAGGGCTTCACGCACTCCAAGCCCGAACCCAAGTGACTTGAGTCAGCTGCTGGTCCGCCCCAAATGTCTGCACGGTGCACCCGGAGCTCTTTGCTTCACCCTGGCAGGGCACCGCTGGGACTCCAGGGACGACAGGAGGGACCCTTTTTCGGGACCTTTGGGGTTATTTCGGGGCTACTTCTGGTATATTTCTAAGGTATATAGGTTTTTATGTATATATGTATATATGTAGGGTTTTCTAAGGTCCCTTTCAGGGGTCCTTCCTTATACCCCTTTGTAGACCGTCTGGGCTTGGGGCCTCCAAGTACGGTCTTAAGGTGCCATTAGACTTTTATTTTAGGTTGTTAGGGGGATCCGCGACCCCACCCCCCCCAAACCCTAAACCCGCCTTGTGGGCTCGGGATTTATGAGTTTCTCCTTTGGCACTGTGAACCCTTCTTCACCGTTTTAAGGTTGGGTTCCGATGTAATATGAGCCTAGTGTGCAAAGGAAGCACCCTAAACCCTAAGCCCTAAACCCTAAACCCTAAAACCCTAAACCCTAAACCCTAAACCCTAAACCCTCAACCCTCAACCCTCAACCCTCAACCCTCAACCCTCAACCCTCAACCCTCAACCCTCAACCCTCAACCCTCAACCCTCAACCCTCAACCCAACCCTCAACCCTCAACTCTGTGTGTGCGAGAGTTGGGTCCACTGGGCAGCCCGGAGCCCCTCTTCTACCAGAGCTTGGTGAAGAAAGGGAGACCGACGCCCTAAACCCTAAACCCTAAACCCTAAGCCCTAAGCCCTAAACCCTAAACCCTAAACCCTAAACCCTTAGCTTTCTTTTTCTTGTTGGGGGGGGTTAGGTTTTAGATCTGGTACGGATGTTAAGGTTCCAGGATGCTTCGGGCTGCGGGTTCATGGACCCCTGGAGCCTCCAAGCCCAAAACCCCAGTGGCCTGGGTATTGGGGTTCAGGGTTCAGGGTTTAGGGTTTAGGGTTTAGGGTTTAGGGTTCAGGGTTTAGGGTTTAGGGTTTTGCTTTCCGATCGCCAGGCCGATTCCTTTGACCCGAAACCTCTCGTCACCGAAGCCCCAAACCCGAAATTCCACAGACCCCTGCACCCCAATGCCCCTACATGAAGCAGGGTTTATGTTGCTGTTATTGGTGAGTGTATGTCAACATTGGTGAGTGTACATAATTGGTGTTATTGGGGCTACGAGGAATATAGACCCTACTTCACATCCTAAAGCCCTCCCACTTAAACTTTACGCACATTAAGCCCCAAACCCGAATTGCCAGACCCTGCAGACCCCCCAAGTGCCTGGAGGCTGAACACCCTAAGCTCTTTTCATCTCAACCCTACACCCCTGAACCCCTGTGCTGCGGGGTTGAAACCTGGGTTTTTTCAGGGTTTAGGGTTTAGGGGTGTAGGGCTTATAGGGTTTAGGGTTCCAGGGTTTCAGGTTTGGGCTCGAGGGTTATAGGGCTTCGAGAGTCAGAGTCTAGGGCTCCCAAGTGGGTGCACATCTTCCTTTTGTCCATACAGGGCTATATGATGTATATATATATATATATATATGTATATGTATATATATATATACATATATATATATATATGGTGCAGCGTCGCTGCCCCCCCCCCCACCCCCCCCACCCCCCCCCACCCCCCCCACCCCCCCCCACACCACCCACACCCCCCACCCCCCACCCCCCCACCCCCCCACCCCCCCCCCCCCCACCCCCCCCCCTCCGCGCCCTCCGCGCCTCCGCGCCCCGCGCATCCGCGCCCTCCGCGCCCTCCGCGCCCTCGCGCCCTCCTCGCCCTCCCCTCCGCGCCCTCCGCGCCGCTCCGCGCCCTCCGCGCCCTCCGCGCCCGCGCGCGCACGCCCCCACGATGTTCAGGTGTCCCACCACCCCCCCCACCCCCCCCCCCCCCCCCCCCCCCCCCAAATTCTTTCCCCGCCCCGCGCCCCTGGGTGGTGTGGTTGGGGTTTGGGTTTGTTTAGGGTTTAGGGTTGAGGGTTGAGGGTTTAGGGTTTTAGGGTTTTAGGGTTTTAGGGTTTTAGGGTTTAGGGTTTAGGGTTTAGGGTTTAGGGTCCCCGCCCCGCCCCCCTGTGGTTTGGGCCCCCCTGTGGGGTGCTGTGGTTGGTTTGGGGTTTGGGGTTTAGGGTTTAGGGGTTTACGGGTTTCGGGGTTTTGGGTTTAGGGTTTAGAGTTTTGGGGTTTCGGGTTTCGGGTTTAGGGTTTCGGGTTTAGGGTATAGGGGGGTGGGGGGGGGTTGGGGGGGGGGGTTGGGGGGGGTGGGGGGGGGTTGGGGGGGTTGGGGGGGGGGGTTGAGGACCGACACGGGACACGCTGTGTTTATTGAGGCTTGTCGGGCTTCCGCAAGCTCCTAGACCCTAAACCCGAAACCCTAAACCCGAAGCCCCAAGTTGGCCCAAGCCCTAAACCCTACTCCCCAAGCCTTGACACATCTGGAGTCCTTTTGGAGCTCGCCCCCGTCCGATCCCTCCGTGCCCCTGCTCAAGCCGGCCCGCACCACCATGGAGATAGGGAGCAGAGGGCTCAGACACATTGGGTTTGGGTTTAGGTAGGGTCTAGGGTTTAGGGTTTACGGTTTAGTGCTGGGACTCAGGGTCGAAATCAGCACTCAGGGGGTCACCGAAGGTGGCTTCAAAGGTTGACATGGCAGCAATCGAATTGCGTAACTCTTCCCACAAACCACACGTCAAGCATGTTGCTTCTTTACACTGCACATTGGCTTCATGCTGCTCTTTGACATGTACTCTTTGGTTTTCAACTTCGTGGCTCAAGGGTCACAAACGTAGCCACCCCCTTGGGTTTGTACAAGAAAAGATCACGGGGGGGTGTTACACGCATCATGCCCTTCTGACGAACCACCATCACACTTGCGCATCAGCACTCCTCCTCATTTTGGGAAGCCCCTTGGACAAAATGTCCTTCTTGATGCGCTTCGTTACCCCAACAGCGGGTCTCCCTGAGGCCTTCTGTAATACAGGGGGTAGTGCTCAGCACAACACTGACAGTAATCTATAGCTCTGAGCTTGGCTCGGTTTGCATGCCTCAGTCCATAACATCCAGCGTGAACATGTACTCGATCTCCATGCTCGGACATCACAAACGATTTAGGCAAGCACCTAAAATCCAGTCTCAGCCTCGCTGCTTGGCTGTCCGTAATGACCTCATCTGGCGCATCCACCCTGAAGGTCCCTTGTCCCGAAGTCGTCGAAGGCGTGGTTTCGGACGCTGTAACCGCTTTGTGAACCTCAGCCTCAGGGGTTCTCGTGGCAAGCTCTGGCTCTAAATTCTTCAGCTCTTGATGCAAAGCGCGAGCTGTCTGGTCCCTGATCCGCAACAGCCTTTTCGCCCTTTGCACAGTTGTCTCGTCGTGGATTCCCAGCAACCAACCCATGATCATCTTCACGAGCTCCCAGATCGCCACCAGAGCTACTCCACATATTCCCACACAGACATAAAACTCCACGCTTCCATCCAACTCCGTCGGACTTTTATGCATCTTCTCCGCCTTAGCGCCCTGGGCCATCGTCAAGACGACCATCAGCGCCATGATCTTCACCGCTTCCAGCCTTGGCGTCACGGTAACTTGAGACATCCGTCCCTCCTTGTGACCTTGCGCAAAGTCCTCCACGGTGACCATATTCCATAGCCCACGAAGCACAGATAGGCGAGGAGCCGGGACTGGCTTGGTGCCCAAGTCTGCTGGTTGCCCTTCACCAGGTTCATGATGTAGGGTTACGCGCTGCGCCGACACTTCTTGCCGAAGAAACCGCGCCCTCACACGGAGGTGACGAGTTTTCCATGTCCCCGGGGCGGTGCTTGCCAGCCCCAGAGCCGCCGTGTTGTCTACTTTGACAGCTTGGGGCACACTCGCTTGCACCTCGCTGGCCCACGCCTGGATACCCAAGCCCAGCTGATATGCCGCGATCAACTCGTACAACTCTGCCTCCGCAGTGGACAGCGTAATCAATCACATTCTCCAAGCGACGAAGCCTCCAAACAACGCCACTGCGCTGCAGCCAAAGGACTTTCCGCCCCCTGGCGCGTAACTGGCGTCTGAAAACGTTTCCACCGCCTGCTGCGAGCCGCAATAGACCAATCCCATGTCCTGCGTGTTGAGGAGGTATCGACGCACATGGTGAGCCAAGCGGGTGGCGGCAGCTGCATTCTTTGTAGCCATGGCGCAGACGTGGCTCGTTGCAAAGCTTATGTCCGGTCTTGTTCTCGTAGCCAGCCATAGCAGTTCTCCGGCAGCGGTTTGGGCTGCCCGAATGAGCTCCTCATCCGTCTCGCTGCCTTCCTCGTCTCCCTCCTCCCAATGCGGAATAAGGTCCTTCGTCGCTGGCACCTGTGCAGGCTTGTCATGCTCCATGCCATACTCCCGGATCAAATCAGCAATGTACCCGCCCTGGCTAACATGGTAGTGTCTTCTGCCTTCACAAACTCGGCTTTGCACCTCCATACCAAGGTATCGCACAGGTCTTTTGCCAACCCATTCCAGCTCAGAGCACTTCCAACCATCTTCACCGTCGTCCCCTTTTGTGAGCCACGTGTACATGCTCTTGACCTCTTCTCTTCCTCCAAGGAACATCACGTCATCCACGTATATGATCATCAGAGCGATGGTCTCCTCCTCATCCCCCACAGGAACAAGCCTCCACACCGCTGGATCTGTTTCCATCTGAACGAACTTGCATTCACGTTGCCCCACGCGGACCTTGGCTCCCTTGATCCTCCGATCTCGAAAGTTGCCCCACAACCGCGGCGCTTCCTTCAGGCCGTAGAGGAGCCTCTCCACCAAGTAAGCGGTGTTTGGCTGTGCGCATCCAGCATCCACGACCACCTTCGGGACCGTGATCGCATAGTGCACACTTGACTCCGACATCGGGGTAAGGGTGAACGCCGATGTTATGTCCGTGACCGCCGCCTCCCAGTTTCTTTGTGCCGCAAACGCCAGCCCGCATCTCAAGCTCTCCGCGCTGGCGGCTGTGGTGAAAACTTCCGTGTCGCCCTTGATGTAGTTGCCGCAGATCACGAGCCTTGTTTTTCTCTTAAAGAAACTGAGGTCATCGACACTCCCGGGGTGCTCCTTGCCTGCCAAGTCCTGAGGTTTCTCCTCTTCGCACTCTTCCTTGTCCTTGATCACCGCCGCATCAGGGGGCTTCACGGTGTGCACCGTCTTAGCCGGCACCAGAGTGATCTCCCCACGATCTTGTAGCCGTTTTGCTTCCTGAAGAGGGATTGGAACCAGGGTGCCGTTTCCTTTCAGGTGATTAACTTCTTTGGCAATGCTCGGTATCCATACTGGCAGATGTGCTTTGACCTCGGGGAGGGCTACCGTGTGCGTCACTGTGAGGGGCTCCTTCAAATCCTTCAGGATGTCTTCCACATTCTCGGTGGTGATGTCTGCGGCCATCTTTGCGATGCGAATCTTCCTTTGATTTATCGCTTCCAGGGACCGCTCTTCTTGCACTACCATATCTTCCGACAGGATTTCCTCCACGAAGTCGAGCTCCTCCTCCGCGTCCACAACCTTTTCATTCATGGACTCGTCCGCATCTTCACCTTCTTCTTCCCTTTGGTCCGCGCACATTGCCTCTTGAACGATAAAAGCCCTCAACGCCCTGGCTCTTTGTTCCAACCACTCTCTTTCTTCCTTTGGCAATGGCATATTCGGCACTGGCTCGAAGGCTTTTTCTTCATTCCTGGCCTCCTCCGGCTTGTAGCTCATTGACCACTTTGTCTTCAAGCTTACCCTACCTCCTGGGATCACCAGCTCGTCCTCTCTTTCTCCACCCAGTCCTTTTTCAGGTCCAACAGGGCAAGACGCAGCTGCATCGTCCTCTCCCGGTTGCTTCTCTGGCCAACAACCAAGTTCTCGAAGGTAGTCTATTGCCTCAGGGTCCAACTTGTGCCAGGCGGCAATCGTGAAGCCCACCACCAGTGTCCTTGGCCCTTTTTCTCCGACCACTGGCTCATGCAACCTGGAGGGGTTCACTTCCTGCGGCCGGTTCAGCTCCACGACTTGACCAGGTACCTCCTTTCCATTGTGCCAACGAGGTTCGTACTTCCCCTTGAACTCGTCTCCAACCTTCATCTCTTGCCACACGCCGCTGCCCTTTGCCACCTGCAACGGAGAGACTAAGTTGTTCGAGCCCTTCTTGTTGAAGCTGTCTCTGTGCATGGGCATCACAGCATTTTTCACCAAGGCAATCGATGTGAAGTCCTTCCCGGGGAAGTCATGGTGAAGCAGCGCAGAGGCCACTCGCACCACCTCTTCATACTTTGTGGTAGCATTGGTGATGTTCACAATTCCTCCATGCTGATAAGCCCCGAGCGTCATATACGCCATCTCATCATCATGGCAGGGAACACCACGCAGTTGAGGACGTTTTGCCACTGCCTCCTTGCTCGTCCAGATCTCCGACGCCAGCAGCTTCTCCACCAACTGGCTCCTTGGCATAGCTCGGTATACCTTCGCCGCCTTAATCTCCGGGCCCTTGACTGTTGTCTTCTCCCGAAGCCTCTGCGATGGCCTCACCCAATCCGCCTCGTACTCAGGGGCTTCCTTTTCAACGTACTCTTCATCACGAACAAGGCGTACATGCAAGGTCCTCAGCCATGTGCCATCTTCAAGAAGCACCACGTGTCCACCACGAACGTCTTCTGTAGGGCCCATATACGTGCCTCGCTCCCACCTCGGGTCAAAGGGACCGTGCCCCTTTTTGGACTTGATCCACACCACAGATCCAAAGCGAATCGCCCTTTCAGGCCTTGCAAGCATCCTGCGGTTGTGCCCGTCACACGCCTCCTTCATAGCGCATGGCCAATACCTTTTTTCAACATCCCCGGCTTGTAGGAGCAGGCGTGCTTTGGACTTCAGCCACTTGACCCCGTTCTCGGCGACTGCGTTCTGGGAAGGCGCCACACCCTCTGTGAAGGTTTGGTACACGTCCCTCTCTCTACACCACTTGCGCAAAGACTTGGTGCGGAACTCCTTAGCACGGTCCGTGTGGATTCTGGACAATGGCATGCCCCATGACTTCAAAGTGACGTAGATCTCTTGGACGGCCTCCAATATCTCACGCCCCCGGTGCTTCTCCATTGGTATCGCAAAACGCAACACCTGGAACTCCATAGGCTTCTTCAAATCTCCCAGCACCCTCTCCCACTCTTTCTCCTGGGCCTCAAGCTCTTTGTCCTCTGCTACTTCCCCCAACTCGCCGTCCTCGTCGTACGTCTCCAGCCAGTCTTCTTCTAGTTCCTCTGCCGGAACACCAGGCAATTCCATCTCTGCTTCCTGATCACCATGTGGAACTGGAGCGGCTTCGGGACTGCCATGTGGAACTGGAGATGCTTCAGGACTGCCATGTGGAACTGGAGATGCTTCAGGCTGCCATGTGGAACTGGAGCTGCTTCGGGACTGCCATGTGGAACTGGAGCTGCTTCGGGACTGCCATGTGGAACTGGAGCTGCTTCGGGACTGCCATGTGGAACTGGAGCTGCTTCGGGACTGCCATGTGGAACTGGAGCTGCTTCGGGACTGCCATGTGGAACTGGAGATGCTTCGGGACTGCCAGGTGGTGGTATCGGTACATCCTTTGGAACACAGTACCCCTTCGGAAACACGTAGGTGGCCGCCAGCACAAAGCGATACTTCTTTCCCTTCTTCTCATCAATCCCCTGGTCACGAAAAGCTCCTGCCACATCCAAGCTCAGGACATATATGCATCCCTGTGCAGGACCTTCCGTGCTGGTCTTCCCGATCCCGATGCCGCCAAACAAACCGAACAGTCCCTCCTGTACGGCCAGTGATTGCCATCGAGATGTGCTCGCCATTCCGCCGCTTCTTTGGCAGACATAGCCCTTGCCTGGACTCCACTCCCTTGTAGTTCTCGTTGCAAAAGAGCCCTTGCTATCTCTCTTCTAAAACCAGGTGCCCACGCCGCCATCGATGAGGACGAAGAAGGTGTAGGCCACTCACGCCGTACATCTCGTGCCTGCAGGTTCATCTTCAGGTTCGTCAGGAAGACCGTGGGTTTCTTTTGCTCGTGTCCATACGCTCCTTGATCGAACCTGTACTTCACTAAACCTAGCAGCTCTTCTATTTGCTCCATGAAGTGGGTTCTCCACACCGACGGACAAACCTCCCATAGCTCGCTCTCCTCGTCCAAGAACTCCCGCGGATCTTCTGGATGCTCCATCCCGAACGCCACCCTGCTGAAGGTCCAAGAGTCACAGTCCTCGTCCTCGTAGCTCGCTTCAGCCACTAGCCATAACCACATCATCCTCAACAGTAACTGATTGTCCCCCTTCACAACCTGTTGCTCCGCATCGCTTAGGCCAAGCATCCCCCACAAGAACTGCGCTGATCGCACCGGCCTCGGCATTCTCGTGCTGCTGCCCTCCACTTTTCTATGCCTCAGAAGCGAGAACGTCCTGCACGGAGGCCCTCCGACCACGCCTTTGATTCTTCCTTGTGTGGCCGCCCACAGCAGCAAGGCATACACCTCCTTGTTCAACAAATCCGTACCCATGCCGATGTCGATTTCCAGGACCTCGCCGGCAATCTTTTTAATCGGATCGTCCTTCACCGCCTTCCCCGCAAAGAGATGGATCACCCAGTCCTTAGCCTTCCACAGCCTCCTCCTCCTTGCACGGTTCATCGGCATCTTCTTCAACAACTTCCACGCCTCCTCCGAATTACTTGGAAGAGCTTCCAAGACCGCGGCCTTGTCCTCAATCGGCACATGCTGCATGAACGGAGCTTCAAAGACGGCCCTCAAACCGTCCGCCTTGTCCCCGCCCCGCACATAATCCTGAAGATAGCTTTTCCAATCGCCAGGCTTCCTTTTCTTCGTAGCCGCTATGGCAGCGCGAAGCTCTGCCATCGAGTTGAAGCTCGCCTCCACGGATTGTTCCTCCAACTCCGCGATCAGCCTCAAAGCGTCACACTCTCTGACCTCCGGGCACGTCGACCTCGTAAACACCTGGATCTCCGGGCGAGTCTCATGCCTCAGCTTGCAGCCCTTGCTATTCCAGACGAACTCATAGCCCAGCGTCTTCACCAGCGAACCAAGTGGAACTATGGGCTGCGCTTCTTCCGCCAAGATCACCCCGCTCTGCGTCTGCGGAAGCTCCACCTTCTGGTCGCCAGCCAAAGTGACTTCAGCCCTTGTGCAGGCCTGGAGTTCGTTCGGTGATGTTGCCGGCCTCAAGGGGTGCGTGGCGCCCGAATCAAGAAGGCCCATCTTTTCTCCTCCTTTCTTACCGCCTCCCTGACCCACATTCTTCAACATTGCACCCCATTCTTGTACAAGATGTAGTGGTGGCAGATCACCCATAGCTCGCTCCGGGCACTGCAGCACCTTCAGAACCGGTGCCTTCTGTTGTCCTTCGATGAACGCCTTCATCATGCGGTGGGCGTTCTCCAAGAGCTGATCCACTGGCAATCCTTGCACAGGGTCTTCAGTGGTCGTGCTTGCTGAGCTTGATGGTGGCGCCGTAGTCGCTCCTGCTATCGATGTTTCAGACATCTCCACGGCCTTCTGGATAGACGGACCTTCTTGTATGCCTTCCGCACGCCTCTGACCCCCGCCCTGGCTCTTCGGAGACGATGAAGACGATTGCGCATCTCCCTTAGTCTTCGTCGGGCAGTTTCTAGAGGTGTGCTGCTTGCTGCCACATGTCCAACATCGCTCCCTCTTCTCCTTGTCCATGGCGTGCTCAAACTTGCAGGACTTTCCACGACGACACCCTTCATCGGTGAGGAAAAACCGACACGGCTTTTGACTACCATTCCCAGGTCGCCCTTCACGAGATGGTGCCGCGCCCTCAGGTTTGTTTCCCCCCATTGCTCTCATCTTCGGTCCAGTAGGGCTGTTGCTGCTTCCATCCCCACCAGCAGGACCCCCCTTTTTAGGCCCCTTCCGCATTGCCAGCTGCTCAAACTCCGCCATGTACGCCCGGTGGATTGCCATGATGCCCTCGACCGTCGGGGTGATGTCCACCTTCAAGTGGTACCTCAGCAGTTGCATCCGAAACGTCACTTCGGCATTCTCCTGCAAGGGCTTCTTGGCCAACCCATCCAGTGCCTTCAACAAGATTGATGGGTCCGGCGTGATCAATGAAAGGTCTTTGGCGCGCTGGTACACCCGTTGCCAGAGCCTCAAGGCTTCAAGTGCTTCCTGTGGCGTGTTGACTGCCCCAGGCTCCTCAAGCTTTCTCAGCAACTGTGATTTTTCAGACGCTGACCCAGGCCTGTACATCACCATGAGCCTACACAACACCTCCAGTGTAGTCTTCGTTCGTGTAGCTACGAGCTCCTTTTTCACATCTTCAGGGACCGCGTTCAACAACATGCTGGCTCCACGCCGGTCTACGCGCACCCAACGTTGGTCAAGGAGTTCTCGTGGCGCTACCGGCTTCATGGTGATTCTCGCGAACTGGTCCGCCGCCTGGTACTTCAAGTAAAAGTCCTGTGCCGCTTCCTTGACCATCGCCCACCACTCCGCCGATCCAGAACTGATGTCACCCATGGTGTGTTCCAGACAATGTAGCCAGTCTCCAAAGTCAACCGAGGCTGAATCACTCACCTCCGCAAGTCTCGGAGCCTCCACTGACGTTCTCCCAACCTCCTCCTGTGCCTTAGCGGACTTCCCAGAGATGACCTTTTCCAGTCCCTCCAATAGTCTCGTCAGTGAATCGTTCTTGTCCGATTGCGCTCTCTCGCTTGCTCGGACAGCTGCACCATCGCCAAGAGCCCCGCCATCCAAAGCTCCGCGGCCCTCACCTCCTTGTACACGAGTGGCATCAACTGTCCCCATGTTGGAGTGTCTCAACCCATCCATCATCAAAGGTCCTTGCCGACCCCCTTCATGAAGGTATCCGCCATACACGACAGGTGCTCCTTGAGGCGCTTCCGGCAATTCCTCGAAGCCTACTCTCCGTTGTCGCCGCTGACATCCGGGGTGCCAACCTCGCCTCCTGTTGAAGAGATGGCGACGGCCCTGATGGATCTGCTGCAAAGCCCGACACCGATGGCATATTCAACGACGCTGACACAGGACCTGTTGCTACGCCCGACACCGACGGCATATTCAGTGACGATGACAAAGGACCTGTTGCTACGCCCGACACCGATGGCATATTCAATGACGATGACACAGGACCTGCTGCTACGCCCGACACCGATGGCATATTCAATGACGATGACACAGGACCTGCTGCTTCGCCCGACACCGATGGCATATTCAATGACGTAGCCCCGTTGCCTGTTGCCGCCGATGACTGCGTCGTCATTCTTAGCCGCTCCACCTCAGCCCTCAGTTGGGAAGCCTCTTGCTTGCTAGATTCCAACTGGCCCATGATGCCTTGCAGCTGCCTCCTCACTTCTGCTTCCACAGCTTCTTTCGTACTATCACCCCCCGAACTTGCCTCTCCCGATCTTGGCGCAGAGGCACCGAGTCCATACAACAAAGGCGCCCTTCCCTGCATCTCTTGCATCTGCTGCACCTGCTCTCTGGAGAAAAGGGATCCCTCCGAACGAGGACCTTCTGAAGGTGACGAAGCCAGGGCACGTTGACGAGGCCTCGCCTGCGGAGGCGAAGGGAAAGGTGAGGGTGGCCACATCTGCCCATTTGCCTGCTGAGCCCTCATCTCTTGGAAAAACGTCCCAATCCGCTGCATCCAGCTCGGCAGTGCACGTCTCGTCGAGAACGCTTCCACGCTCCATGCCGCGGCCTCTGCGACATTCATCTCGCTCCCGTGCACCGCCCCCATCATCACAGCTTGAGACTCTTGCTCCATCGGACGTCCACCTTGCCCAGCCGCCGTCATCATGCTGACGAACTCTCGCTGCTCCTGGCTTTGAGGCGCCCATCCCCGGTCTTGCTGCTGACCCGGTGAAGTCACCGCCATAGCCCTCAATGCCAACGACGCTTCTCCCGCTCCAGCGCGCTGAACTTCATCTCCCTGCCTGCCCAAGGTCACATCTTGTCTTGCGCCAACGGTACTTGGGCTCATACCCTGCTGGGACTCAGGGTCGAAATCAGCACTCAGGGGGTCACCGAAGGTGGCTTCAAAGGTTGACATGGCAGCAATCGAATTGCGTAACTTTTCCCACAAACCACACGTCAAGCATGTTGCTTCTTTACACTGCACATTGGCTTCATGCTGCTCTTTGACATGTACTCTTTGGTTTTCAACTTCGTGGCTCAAGGGTCACAAACGTAGCCACCCCCTTGGGTTTGTACAAGAAAAGATCACGGGGTGGTGTTACACGCATCATGCCCTTCTGACGAACCACCATCACACTTGCGCATCAGCAGTTTAGGGTTTGGGGTTTAGGGTTTAGGGTTCAACGTCGCCAGACCATCATGGCCGCAAGAAGCTTCAGATTCTCGGCTTCAGAAGGTCCTCAAGGCCTAAATGGCACTTGAAAGTTTTCGTCGAGCTCAGGGTCCTAGGGTTTAGGGTTTAGGGTTTAGGATTTAGGGTTTCAGGGTTCCGGGGGAGGGTTTCGTGCCTTTTGGGAGTAGGTTCTTTGCTCCGCATGTCCGCGACTCCACGTCCGAACTACAACTCCGCACAGGTCTTCGCCTACCAGGCGGGGCCTTGCTTATCATAGGGTTCTTAAGGGAGGGGTCAGGGTTGTAGGGTTTAGGGCTTAGGGAATAGGGTTTAGGGTTTAGGGTTTAGGGTTTGGGGGGGGGGGGGGGGGGTTATGGGGGGTAGGTACCTAGGGAACCTTAGGGCAGCTTAGGGAGTGGAGTAATCAGTGGCTTGTAGTAGGGAACCTTGGGTTACATACCCCCCTTGAACCTCGGGAACCCCGAGGGGGCAGGTCGTTCTTAAAGACCCCTTTATAAGGGATTCAGGGTTTGGGGCTTTGGTGGGTTATTGAAAGGGCTGGACCATGGTTCAGCAGAGGGGCCCCCTTGCTAAGAAGGGAACGTGGCGTACGGCTATTTTGGGAGAAATTTTAAGGACTACCATATCGATCGTCATAGGGTCCCTGCTGCAACGCGGAAACCTTGGGTTTAGGGTTTAGGGTTTAGGGTTTAGGGTTTAGTTTCACGGTTGTTGAGGTCTACAACATGAAGGGCTCATGTATAGGCTTTCGAGGCGGCTGAGGGCGCTTTAGGGCGAATTGGGTTGAGTTGAGGGTTTAGGGTTTAGGGTTTAGGGTTTAGGGTTTAGGGTTTAGGGTTTAGGGTTCAGGGTTTAGGGTTTAGGGTTTAGGGCTTGTTCCTTTCCGCGGAGAAACCTGGAAAGCCACCGGTGAGGTAGCGACCCGTCCACGCACGGCTCCCTTTCGGAGGCCTCGTATCTTAAACCCGAAACCCTAAACCCCAAACCCTAACCCCCAAACCCTAAATCCTAAACTCTATAGACCCTACATCTTGGGATTCATTATTGGGTATTCGGAGGGACCCCTAAAAGGGCCCCAAAATACCTAAGTCCTTTAGTCCCTTGAAGGATGTCGACTCCCCCCAGCTTGGACCCCAGGGAGTCGCCTGCCCCAGCTTGGACCCCAGGGAGTCGCCCTGAATATACTAGGAGTTTGGGAGTTAGGATTTAGGGTTTAGGGTTTGGGGTTTAGGGTTTAGGGTTTAGGGTTTAGGGTTTGGGGTTTGGGGTTTGGGGTTTGGGGTTTAGGGTTTCGGGGGCTTGCTACTCTATCTCTAAGGGCCGTTACATGGTCCCTAAATCGCGTCCCTTACCTTCTTGAAAGGGCTTTGATTTCTGGACTCTTGGGTTGTAGAATTGGCATGTATAGTCCCCCTTTACAGGGAAGGCCCTCATGGCCCTATTTCGGGGAAGGCCCTTTAAGGGCTGATACCAACTGCCGTCAAGGCTTTCGGGGCAAAACCCTGGACCAACAACCTGGTGTTTAGGTTTTTATTTTTTTTTTTTTTGGGGGGGGGGGGGGGGGGGGCTGAGGAGTTTAGGAGTTCTTGTGTTTTGTGGCTTGGGCTCCGGATATGAGGGTTTGGTGTTGTGTTTAAGGTTTGGTTCTGGGTTTTCCTGGAGGAAGTTTGGAGGTGGAGCGGTATGGATAGCAGGGGTCTGGCGCCTCGAAGAATGAGTTACTCTTGGCCTGTTCCGGCTCAGCAAGCCCCCTACAAATTTCAGGGTCTTCAGGGTTCTTCGGGTTTACAGGGTTTACAGAGTTCATAGGGTTTATGGGGTTTGCAGGGCTTATGGGGTTTATCGGGTTTAGGGCTGATGGGGTTTGTAGGGTTTGTAGGATTTATAGGGGTTTATAGGGTTAACACTAAGACCCTCAACCCTCAGCCCTAAACCCTAAACCCTAAACCCTAAACCCTAAACCCTAAACCCTAAACCCTAAACCCTAAACCCTAAACCCTAAACCCTAAAACCCTAAACCCTAAACCCTAAACCCTAAACCCTAAACCCTAAACTCTCTGCACTTAAGAGGCCGACATGCCCGTCCTCGCAGCGCTCGGCGCTGTGGCGAACTGCGCCAGCTCGGAGGCGCTGAGGGGTTTAGGGTTTAGGGTTTAGGGTTTAGGGTTTAGGGTTTTAGGGTTTTAGGGTTTTAGGGTTTTAGGGTTTTAGGGTTTTAGGGTTTTAGGGTTTTAGGGTTTTAGGGTTTTAGGGTTTTAGGGTTTTAGGGTTTTAGGGTTTTAGGGTTTTAGGGTTTTAGGGTTTAGGTCCTAAATCCAGCACCCTGTAAGCTAGAGTCGCCGAATGCGCACCCTCTGCCTGTCTACGCGTGGCACGCCGGCTGCGCGCAGCGACTCTGTGAGGTCTTTTGCTAGAGAGATTAGGGTTTAGGGTTTAGGGTTTAAGGTTTAAGGTTTAGGGTATAGGGTTTAGGGTTTAGGGCTTAGGGCTTAGGGTTGAGGGTTGAGGGTCTTGGTGTTAACCCTATGAACCCTCTAAATCCTACAAACCCTACAAACCCCATCAGCCCTCGGCTTTTGCAGTTTGTTGAAACTGAAACCGGCGTGCGGTTTTCTACAGTTGAGCTCCATGGTTTCTCGTGCTCTTACTAGGACCCAGAGTAGGCCTTTTTTCCTTCTTTTTCTACAGTTGAGCTCCATAGTTTCTCGTGCTCTTACTAGGACCCAGAGTAGGCCTTTTTTCCTTCTTTTTCTACAGTTGAGCTCCATAGTTTCTCGTGCTCTTACTAGGACCCAGAGTAGGCCTTTTTTCCTTCTTTTTCTACAGTTGAGCTCCATAGTTTCTCGTACTCTTGCTAGGACCCAGAGTAGGCCTTTTTTCCTTTTTGCAGGGTTGGGGGTTCCCTCAAAAACCCCCTTAAGACCAAAGAAGGGTACCCTGTTTTTGCCTGGGGTACACCTGGGCCTAGCTTAAGTGTTTTCTGGCACGGTGTCTTCATGATCCTCAGGAAGCTCGTGCCAGCAACCCCCTCCCCCGACCCCGCCCTCCCCACCCATGCCACCCCCAACCTCCACAGTGCAGGCCTCGGGGACAGCAGGCGCCCGGGCATTTGGGGCGGTGGAAGTGTGGGAGTCCGAACCATAAACCTCAAAGCATTGCTTCGTAGCTGAGTGAGCACACTTTACACTTTTCGGGATACTAGAATCCCTTATGGAACTGAAAGCGTACACTTTTTGGGGGCTTATGACCGCAGCAACTAAGATTAAGCCCTCAAGGCCTTCAACCCATACCCCCTAAACCCTAAACCCTAAACCATACTCCCTTGGCCTTTTTAGGCTTCCTTGAGCCACTTAAGCCCGGAAAGCCTTTGCCCATGAAAGCCTCAAGAACTCCCAAGACCTGCCAGGTCTCGGGTTTAGGGTTTAGGGTTTAGAGTTTACCCCTAAGGTTGTACCCCTAAACGCGAATATGGCCCTGAAAGTACCTGAACGATCTTACAAAAAGGGTCCCCCAAAAAATCCAAGGGTAGAAGCTTAAGGGTCAAAGGTACAGTCACTCTTCACAGTCACACGTCTTGCCTACACCGCTTTGGGTTTCAGGGTTTAGGGTTTAGGGTGTTGGGTTTCGGGTTTAGGGTTGCGGTGTTGGTGTTGTTGGATAGGTTTCGCCGCATCCCAAGTTCTCGCCCCTAAAGCTCCAAAACCTAGACAGACCCAGACCAACCTACGTGTAAACCTTCTAAGGCCGGTGCAAACTCCTAGGTCTTGAAACCTTTGCAAGCTCTACGAGCCTTACATTCGTCCGCGCTCCCCCCCCCCCCCCTAAACCGTCAACCCTCAACCCTGAACCCTATACCCACCATGAACCACAGGGGGCAGAGTGAAAGCCCTAAACCCTAAAGCCTACGTAACCCTAAGCCCTGAACCTGACACCCTAACCCACTGTGAACCGCGGGAGGGGGAGACCCAAAACCCTAAACCCCAAACCCACTGGTGGCGTGTGGAAATGTTGCCGCATATAAACCCTGCTCCCTCCCTCCGGTGTGTGTGTATATATATATATACACATGTATAAAGTGTGTGTATGTATAAGTACAGTATAAATACTATATATATATGTATATGTATATTCTACACTTGGGCCTCAAAGTCCTGATATAGGAAGTACTTTAAGGCCCAAGTCTTCCCTATTTAGGTACATTGACCCTTAGGGCTGCCCCTAAACCCTAAACCCTAAACCCTAAACCCTAAACCCTAAACCCTAAACCCTAAACCCTAAACCCTAAACCCTAAACCCTAAACCCTAAACCCTAAACCCTAACCCTAAACATTCAAAGTACTTTGCCTGTATCCATCTATCTGCAAGGCACCGCGCCCAGCAACGAGCGCAGCCGTGGCAGCCGAAAGCGAGTCGGAAGAGGCCCACAGGGCTTGGGATGTTTGGGGTTTAGGGTTTAGGGTTTAGGGTTTAGGGTTAAGGGTTTAGGCTAACAGTCCTTAATTGGGAGTATAGTACCCCCGATTGTTTTCCCGATTAAGGACTGCTAGTCTAAAGGGGGAACATCCCAGCCCACGGTTATTTTTTTGGTGCTTCGGGTTTAGGGTTCAGGGCTTTGGGGTCTAGGGTTTAAGGGCTTTGAGGGCTTAAGGGTTTAAGGGTTTAAGGTCAGAGTGTGTGTTTCTTTGGTCGTGGTCCTTCTTATCAACAAACGTCGGGGATAT